TTTCAACAGGTTGACCCAAAAAAAAGCCCAACCGCGAAGGTGAGCCGGCAGAGTTGTCGATTTTTTTACTATTTTTTTGCCAACCGAATTCCTTTAACGTGTTTTCTCACAGGGATGAGTATAAAATCAGCAAAAATCGGTCAAAACTGCCCAAAAATAGCCAGTCTGAGGTAGATCGCAGCAGTGGGCAGCGGTGCTGTCGTCGAAGCACGGCGGTGTCGTCGTGACAAAATTCCAAAATTTGTCAGAAAAGGTTTTTAACACTGATTTTTGATTTTTTTGGAGTATTTCTAACTACTTGAAGCGTGTTTTAATCTTCGAAGAGAAATTCAAGAAACCTAGGGACCGCTAGTAGATACAGTTGAAATTTTAGTATTTCTGACACCGATTCGGGTAAGAATCTCTCACTCTATTCCTTTATATGAAATTAAAGTTTAATTCTAAATAATACGGTATTTTACGTAACTTAAAAAATATCGATAATTTATTATAGGTTACTAATGGAGTCAGAATATGTTATTTGTCATTGTTTATTATGTTTTAACTGATTGATTGATTTTATAGTTTTAAATGCATGATAATATATTAGAGTTGATAAGATAATTCAGTTGTATTTTCTTGATGCATGTATTGCTTGTTTTGCGTGATTTACAGTTAAATTATGAAATTAGAAATTAAATGTAAATAGAAAATTACTTGATTAAGTGAATGAATGAATGAGAGCTTTACTGGATATTCTGAAAGATGGTGGACAGACCGGGTACATAGAGAATCTTACCGTGAACGTTGCCTCATATCGGACGGGGTATCGAGAATTGATATTTTGACGCTCATACCAAACGAGGTATGGGATGGCCGGTTAGTTGACAATGTTGAATAAGGATTTATGCGTAGTGAGGACATCCCTATGGACTAATATGGATACTAGTACGTAGATAAAAAACAATTATTCTAGCTAATTGAATATGATATTATGATGTTGTTTGTGTTATTACCTCTATAGGTGAGTTTTAGAAATTTTACTACGGTAAGTATGCAATAAATCATTTTATTGATGATAAATGAATTTAGTTAAGTTAAGAGCTCAATTAGTTATTTTTATGATTTTTACCAACATTTATTTGTGTATCAGTGAGTAGTATGACATTCTTACTGGGTTAGTATAGCTCACTATTTCATTAATCATTTCATATCAGAAAGACCACGATCTAGATCTTGATCCACAAGAGGATTGCGAATAGGATATCCAATTATTTACTTTCCATTTACTTCTTTGATTTTTCATTATTCTTTTAGAAGAGTCATTCTTGTAGCCTTATTGGGTATTCTAAATTATTGTGTAAGGAATATAAACCATAACTTTAATATTTATATTCCGCATTCAATTTATAATTTATTTTCTTTTAAGTTTCGGGTCGTTACAGTTGGTATCAAAGCCGCGTTTCTCTGAACCATTCCTTACACAAAAATCGTAGAAATAACAAAAAAAATGAATCATCAGTCAACCATTACTTGTGAAATGTAGGTATAGATAGATGAGGAGAAGGAAG